ATCACGACATGGAAGTCATGTGTGGCATCATTTACCTCCACCTTGTAACGTTGTGCTGGATTTTAAAGTGACATATCAACATTTCTCATTCGTGCTTCGCCTATAATCGATTCCCGCGGTACGTGGGATCTGCCAATTTTTTTTTTTTTAACCGTGCACGCTAGCTACTGTCGCTGGAAACGCATACCGTGTTTCTCGCGACAGAAGAACGCCACGTGCAGTTAACGGCGTTATTGGCTGAACGGAGTAAGGGAAAAAAAAAAGAAAACATCATTCTTCTAATGCTGGGTTCCCACGTGCAAAACGAAACACCGTTGGGGATGCTACGCAAGGAATTTGCATTTCATCACGACGTCCTTTGGGGAGGTGGGGTCATTTTTGTAGTTAACGCACACGCTGCGAATTTCGATTGTTCAACAACGCACAGGTGAAATCTCTTACCTGCACTACCTTTGAGGCCAAGATCCAGTGCCTGTATGGAGTTGCCAGTGAACAGTAGCGCAGCTACTGTTCACTTTGTATAACTGTTGTGTATCTATATAACTACTGTATATCCCATGCTTACTTTTACGCGAGTGGCCAAACTCTAAACGAGATCTGCGCCATGGGCAAACTTTGCTCCCATTCGGCCAAATGGCCGGCGGTTAACAGAAGCCAAAGGGGCCTAGTGTGTTTTGTTCAGCCTTTCTTTGTTTGTTTTCTGGCTTTCTTTTTTTGGGGGGGGGGGGGTGAACTACTGCCGCCTCCGCCTTTGTCTTTACGACCTAGGGTGCGCCACGGCTTAGCTCCAGGGTCGATGCTGGCTACAAACGGAGAAGTCATTTCGTTTACACAACCTCACTCTCCTTCGTTACGCTCTCGCACAGCCAAATAGGTGCAGCGTGATAAACGTACAGCACGGAACAGTTTTAATAAGCACAATTTCAACTATATAGCCCTCGTGGTTGCCCAGGGGCTACGGCATTGCAGCGTCGCGACAGGACACTGGTTTGATTCTGTACGTGGTCGCTGAGTTCCGATGGCGGCGTTATGCTGAAATTCCAGCGTACCGAGTGTCAAGTGTATACGGTACAAACTTAATCTGCTGCCCAAAGCGACTGCAGACCCCATGTGACACTGGTTGTGGCACGCTAAACATGCAAGCGCTTTTTTTTTAATAACTACATGATACTCAATGTGGCCGGTCTTTTAGGCCAGGCTAACCCCGCCCTTCCAACATCACAACCACCACCACCAGCATTTAAACAGAGGCTAAAACTCTGCTTTTGATGGCAGCTTCCTAATATAATTGTAGAAGCTTAACGCCGCAAAACTGCAATATGACTCTGATCGAGGGTGCCACATAGGGAAGGACTCCGGAAATTTCGACTACCTCGGGTTCTTAAGAGGGCAACACTTTTTAGCGTCGTCAGAAAATCGGTATTCATGGGTTCCGAGAGCACGCGAGCCGAGCATTATTGCACGGCAAGTGGCCTGGAATTCACATTTCATTCTATCTCAGCTAACAACCACTCCCTCTTACAAATGATGCGTGCCATATAAAAAAATTACCGGCTATTGACTGATTTGAGCAGCGTGGTCGTTAATGCACCCTCCGCAACTGGCCGCCACGTGCTCGCGCTCGAGATCTTGCTAATCATTAGCCGCGCGTTGAAATAAAAAAAAAGAGAGAGAGAAAGTGCTCGAAGTCATGACGCACGTGTGAGGTAACTTCTTTACCCCGTGTCATGCCTCTCTGCTTAGCTTCAAACGTGTTCCTCGGAACGAGAGAAAGCAATTATAGGTTGCGACAAATCTTCAACACCGCTCGTACGGGATCGATTCGGGAAAAATACAATACTTAGATAGGTGTTGAAGGGCCACTTTAGCGGGTATCTAAATCTGTGGGTTCAAGCATTCACGGATCCATCGAAAACGTGGCCGTGGCGGCCAGGATTCGAACCCGTGACCATCGCATCAGCGGCTGAGCACCGTAAGCACAAGACCATCAAGACGGTGATTCATGGCAGCTTCCTGGCAGTACATTTCTAATATGAAATCGCATATTAGTGATGATTCTACAGAATTAAAAGTATAGACAGAAAAAGTATTCGCACCATGCTGTAAATATAGGTATGTCTGACTGTGTCAAGAAAAAAAAGTATGTGTTAGTCCCTTACCTTCCGCTACTTTTTCTTTAGTCTATCCCTCAATTTTTTCCTTGTCAATTCCCTTTTTACCATTTTTCATTCTCTTTTTTTCTTGTAAAATGTACTCTGTACTCAAAGACACACTTCGCTTCGACAGACTCCCAGAGTATCAGCTTTGCGTAAGACAGCCGTTGTCGATCATATGACGTCAGTATACAAGAACAGTATCAACGATGCAGCATTATCAGTACGACAGGCTGACGACAAAACATCTGGCTGCTCGGATCTATAACCGCCACCAGCAATACAAAAACTCTACTTGCATGACGAATGGCATGATGCCAGGTGCCGTAAGATGTCAGAATTGAGAAAATATGAATAAATGTAAGTGACGCACTTCTCGCGCCTAAAACGTATCCCAAAGTTTGAAGAGAGCATAAAAAAACAATAGACAGCCTGGCGGGAAGGACGTTAATCTCTCATATCAGGGGCAAAGCTCCTTATAGCATCACCTGATCGGTATTCCTTATAAATCCATCCTGCAGATCCAGCATATCCACAATGGTGATGAGTGGGTCGAAGCGTCGATTCGTCCGATGCATGCTCTAGTGTGATAGGAGCGGGCGGACGGATGCTTTGCCCCACTCATCATCGGGTATATATGAGCGTTTGAATGTGGAAGCGTTAGTCAGCGCCGCCTATTGCCATTGCGGCGAGTATGGAACACTTGCCGTAATGTGTTCAACTAAGAAAAACGAGTCCTTAACTTGCAATTCTTTGCAAGTTAAGGGCACGTATCTATGGTATACCTTTGAAACTGAGTCAACGGTGGTCAATGTCCAAGGACATTGCTGTTCACCAGTGTGTGTTTTACCGATACACAGAGTTTTATTACTGCCCACCGCGATGCAACGACCAATCTTACACTAGCTCTCCGAAGCTTACTCTGGGCATACGCTTAACATCACCTTTACGTAACTAATGGCTTACAGGCTACAATGATATATAGATTCGCATAAGAAGGTTCTTCGAACGCGCATGGTAATGATCATTTAAGTCATACTTACATCATTAAGAGGCACATACACACCATATATATATGCATATAATTTCATTCATATCTTGTACACCTTGCCCTTGACCGCCCGCTTTCAGTGTTTGATATCTGTTATCGCAACTGAACGGCGTGCGCGATCTACGAACCATTTATCATAAGAGACATCATGAACATAATTAACCGAACTGTTTTGCTGTCATGTAAGTGAGCTCTTGAGAAGTTCCCTAGCTGAAGCTTAGCCATGGCATTTAACTGAGCTGTTACAGCATTAAAAAACACTTATTTCTTTTTTGTTTTGCACTCAATTCGTAGACAGGTGTTTTGGTCATTCTAAATACAGCAACAGGTATTTGATATGCGTTTTTTAACATGCGTAATTTACTTGTGAAGCTTGTAGAACATGAGTGCGCATTGATAACAGTTTAAATAATTATATTCCGAGGTTTATACGAGTCAAAGCTACGCTACGCAATAATGAGGCATAATTATGAGGCGATATGTAATTAAGAGCTTAAGATTACTGTCGAGGACATGGAGATTTTTAGGAAAAAGTGCACGTTTTTTTTTTATTTTGATCTCTTTCAAAAGGTGGCCGCCTTGGCTGGGAATCGAACCCGAGTCCTCGAGGTTAACAGCGCAGCACCATAGCCAGCAAGCTACCGTGGCTAACATTCGAATGCTACTGTAGCCCCAGCAGCGCTGCACCGTTTTGATTTAGACCGACGACGACCACCTCGCGTGGGGCAAGGGGCGCACATTTAACGCCTTCGCTTGAGTCTCGTTAACGAAGTCTAACGCTCTTGCGCCCGGCTTGGTGTTGGTCCTCCCCTTCCTCGCGTCGAAACCTCCCGCAAGCTTTCCCTCTGAACAGCCATGCTTTAGAGACGGTTCACAGTTTACGAGCAAGAGATTGAGACCAGGCCTCACGTTTGCCTTCCTATATACAAGCGGGCGAGATGGAAAAACGTGTGTGCACGGGTTTGGTGATGCCTGCTGCCCATATATTCACCTGACGAGCATTCGCATGCTCGTAACAGGTCGCCGTCTGGCATTAAAACCTACTAAAGATAACTTTTATTTTCAATGCCACAGCGTTAAAGATCTCGTCTCGCGAGAATTATGGCCTCGACCTTGGTATTATGATAGCGGCGTTGGTTGTTAACAAAAATCGGCGTTATTTGTGAGCAAGAAATTGAGATTAATGCGAATACTGGGTCTGGGGTCCGAGTGGTGATCGAATCCATTTATATAGGGGTCACGCAGTTGTTCTACTACCGAGTCCTGTGCAGGCGTCAGAAAGGTAAAAGCGGGAACTCATGCTTTGGATACGTATATTGCGTGGAACAAGTGTGTAATCGCACCAGGCGTCATACCTTGCGATTATTGCAACAAAAGGGTTGCTTTAAGGGACCGCTTATTACGAGGTGCTCGGGCACAAATGATCATAGCAGCATCGTTTCCTAGGTGTGCAACTGGATACGTCTGTATAGGTATGCAGCTGCACACACATTATCCATATGTGTTCATAAGTAATATTAGGATTTGTTGCATTTTTTTTTAATTTCGCCTTTCTTCAAAATGCAGCCACCTTAGCTGGGAGTCGAACCAGAGTCCTCGAAGTTAACAGCGCAGCACCTGAATGCGAACCAGCAAGGAAGCTCGCGCTTATCTTTGACAGAAACTTCGGGAGCTATAAACGTTTTAATAACCAGAACAATAGAATAAACCGCTTTGCGGAAAGTCGTGATGAAAAAAAAAAACTAAGCGATCCATTTTAGAGGTGGCATAGAAGCACCTCGCGTCGAGCAAATCCGTCAGACGAAGAACTCGCACTTTTCGCGTGGATTCATACTTGATCCCACGGGACAGGAGAAGGCCGTCGCAAAGGGGGCAAAGTTTCGAACGGCCTTGTTGCAGTCGGCGCTGGCAGTGCTCAGCGTATGCTTCCGGCGACACGTCATCAAACAAAGTGTCAGGAAAAAGACCATTTCTTCCGTCAAGTTCTCGGCGAGCCTGAATCGGCGCCTGTCTCTCGCCAGCGCCTCTTGAAGCGCCGAGTAAGCTACTTCGACGGCCGGAACTTCGGGAAAGACGCTCTCGTTCTTCCCGAAGCAAGAGTCGCGGGCCTCAAACCTCTCCGTCGACTCGTCGGTTAGCATGGAAGGGACGAAGCTGCCGTTGGGATGCCAGCGCAAACCGTTAGTGTCCAGCGACTTGACGATTTCCAACGTCATCAAGAAGCCGATGCCTCCATACAGCATGCCTCTGGTGCCGTTGCCATAGTACAACGGCCTGGAGACGGCACCAATGGCGGCGAGAACGCGATTCTCGGTGGCTTCGTACGTGAGGTACGGTTCTGCCGCGTTCATCGGCTGGTTCGAGAACTGGCGGTAGAATGGGCGCTGCACCGCTTCGCGAAGCTTTCTTCGCGACTCGGTCCAGTAGCCCGTGATCGAATGCAGTTTTTCTGGAAAGTCTCTGTAGATAGTGTCCAGGACTTGAGTATTTAGAAGCACCTTGCTTGGCCAGATGCTCATATTAACAGCCCTCAGCTTTTCTACCGCCATCGATTTGCTCTGGGTGTCTAGCCAGCTTGACCCTGCAACAAGACTGCTCGCTGCCAGGGTCAAAAAGTCGAAGGCCGTGTCAATAGACGTCTTGTCGGGCCTGAAAACTCTCGAGACAAAGTACAACACTGAGATTAACAGACCGTACGACTCATCGACGTTCCAGCCACAGAACGAGCGGCGAGCGGCGTTCGCGCTTTCGACGTCATCGAAGCGATTGACGAGAACGGTGACGTTGACAATGGGGGCGTATCGCTGCACGAAGAGCCAGGAGAGATGTCGAACGAGTTGTCGGTCGTCGTACTTGGCGAAAAGTTCGCCCACGGCTCTCATGTACGCCACGTCGGTTAGGTACACCTCTGTAGCCATCATCGGTTGCAGCGGAAGGCTACGCTGCAGCGCCGTCAGCCAGCGCGCGCCGGAAACTGAGGGAGTGTAGTTGTCCAAGCGTTCAATAGGCGTCAGCGCAGATGACTCGCGTGGACCACCCGCCGCCATCGTTGCTCCGTACAACTTCCACAAGACGTCGTGCTCCATGACGCCCGTCTCGTTGATAACTCGTTCGTCCCAGCCTAGACGCTCGGCATCGATGCCTACGATCGCTCGAAGCAGGCTCTCGCAGTAAGCACTGTAGGAGCCACTTCGGGAGGCACTTTCGTGCCGCTCTAACATCTCGGGCAGGTAAGGGCTCGGAGAGACGATGAGCCGCCAGGAGCTGCGGTTCTTGGGCGTCTCCCGAATAGCTATCGAAAACCAGGCGGGAGCCTCGTAGTAGAACGCGTGTGACACGTATACCGACAGGGCGTCCACATCTTTCCCGGGCTCCGCGGGCCAACTCAGCTCCGTCTCGTTCACGAAACGCAGAAACTCCGCAGCGTCCGAGTCGAGGTGCGAGTCTTCTAGGCAAGACTCGTACATCCTGAGTGGTTTGCGAGCGATAGGAGCCATCGTGAAAGCCACGTGGAGCATCTCGTCGAGTCGGCTGTACCAGTTGTTGATGACGGTGCCCATGGCGGATTCGTAATGGTTGCCGTTGGATGGAAACCCAGGGAGCGAACGGGCGGAGCAGACGAACGCGGCGAAGTCGTCGCACGGATTCACATTCGACGTGGAGATGATGTCGACGAGAAGATTGGCGTGTTTAGCGCAGTCTTCCGTTCTGCACAGCGGATCCTTATGGTAAGTGATCTCGCGGTGTTCCCAGAGGAAGAGGAGAGTGACCAGAAACAAGAGCCAGAATAGGCCGAAACCTACGACGACCACCGCTGCTTTGACTCGATTGATTCCGACCACGGGCTCCGCGACTGTAGCGCTGGGAAGCTTCTTCTGAAAAAGAAAATAAGAGTGACGTGGAGGATGGGTTTCTTCAGTTTGAGCCACAAAAATTAAAAGCACGCCGTGCTAATAATTTTTCTACGCATGCTTCGCCGTGCGTAGAAAACTGTTATAGAAACTATGACGTGCTTCTTACAATGACCTGCCCTTTATCCGTGGATTTCCGGAAGTACAGACAAGAAGTAAACAGTGCTAGAAAATTAGTATGAAGGGCTTTCGGGAACCATTATCGCCAAAAACATGCGTGACCATCACCTTGCTCTAAGAATTACGCTACAGGCGTGGCTGAGCAACAGTACGGGGCAGACTTTGCATCCACCCTCGCTAAGTGATTAGCAGTGGAGAGGGGTGGGGGCTAGTTCGATTTGCCGCTCTTGCTGAATCTTCCTCTCCCCGTGAACAGGCCTATAGAAGTTGCCATACACTCATTATTGGTGAAGCAAGGGAGAGGCTTTTGCTCAGCAGAGGGCGCCGTTGGGGTAATTATGATATAGATATATACTTACAGGGCAGCGAATAGGGCTCAGGTAACACATGCTTGAATCACAGTAGAGTTGTCTGCCAGCGCCACGTCTTCCAGCGTTCGGCGGCGAAATTGATGCGTCAGGAGCGCTAAACGACTGGCCGGTGGAGCGCGGAGCCCCAGCCGGGATCCCGTCGTTCACTCCGGAACTGTGGGGCTCCATCGAGGGCGAAGCGGCCCACCGGCCGAACAGCTCGGGCATGCTCGAGTGGGATCCGATCAACAGGGGCGTCTCTTCAATCTTGGTGCTCGGGGACAGGTCAAAGAGGCTCCCGCCCCAGATACGTGAACAGGATCGGCTCTTGCTTCGACCCTGGGTCCAGCCGAGAGGAGTCGCGCCTCCGAGAGAAGGCTCCGAATGCAGCTTCTCTCGACTTTTCGGGACGACGGGTCGTGGTTCGGAAGGTTCCGGGTGCGGAGCCTTGTCGGTGGCCGAGTTCTGTTGTAACGACACTTTGACGCCGTTGGGTATTCCTTTGGGCCACGGACAGGCAAGTTTGCCGCTAATCGCTTCGGTCCCGGGTGCAGACGCTGTCGAGTCCGCCGTCCTTGGCGACACGGCGACGACTGAAGTCGAACTTGAGACTGCCGATGACGAGAGCCGGGAGGTTGAGGTGGACTCTTGCGCCGGCAAGACGCTCGCGGCCGGCTTTTCGTCTTCTCGTTTGCGTCGTCGGCATCCTTTCTTCTTCTTCCTTCGTTTCCTGCTTCCTTCGCTTTGCTCCGAATGCGTGGGAATCGTCATGGCGTGCCTGCGAAAAAGCAGCAACAAAAAAAAAACATCAGTTATGGCGAGTCTCGTGAACTAGCAGGCAGCGCTTGGCCCTTTGTTATCAAAGCTCTAAAGGGGGGGAAACGCGTTGAAGGATCCCCGTTACCCAAATAAAATGTGCCTATAATGATAACGCGATTACGCGAGGGAATAGTTAATTCTGCAGGGAACAGGAAGAAAAGCTTGCCAGCTTTCTAAATGACAACGATGTAGCCACAGCCCCCCCCCCCGCCCCCCACTAAGCGAAAAAAGGCCTGTCGCTATGTATAATACACCCTTTCAATGTTTACAAACACAGGCCCTTGATGACATCCAGTTTTTGTCTACGGATGTGTCTTAATAGCATCAGTGGACTAGAGCTTTAGAAAAAGCCCACTGATTGTCTACACTTTCTTTATCCTATTTGCCAAAATATATTCAAATAAATATTCTTTTGAGCTGCAGGAAAATTTTAAAACGTTACCATGTACTTTACGCATGTTTCTTTTATGTAAAAACGAAAAAAAGACTTCCCTTACTCTTGAAAAAAAACTTAAAACATGCTTTCAGTTCCAATGTTAGAAACTGGTGAATAAGACCGGAAGTTTATTGGGTTACAACGCTTCTAACCTTGAAACCGTCTATACGTAAGGGTACTAAAGTGAGGTGATTATGAAAAGGAACCAACATTTTTTTTTTGGTGCTCAAGCACTATCACGCAGACCCCCAGCAACACGTTCTTCTACAGTGCATGAAAATTAAATGGGTGACTCTCTTGTTGCAAGAAGTCACAAATAAATCCGCGTAAATTCCCGCACGGAAATCAGTACAAATTTTCCCGTGGTTTCGTGCTACAAAAAGGTGCTTATTATTTCCCTTTCGTAACCATCTCACCAAATATTGTGGGATTTCGCTGAAGGAATTTGCAATGGGCTCATTATTTTAAGACTCCGATTACGTCACTGAGCTAACACAGTTATCTTGAAATGGGTTTGCACCCTGAAAACAAGGCATATCTATTGTTGTGTTCTCTAATGTCCCTGTAGCTTTGCTTATTCTATAACTGTACTTCTGTCTGTTACTCTTCTTTGAACTAATTAACTTTGCTTTATATTCTTCTATCAACTGCAGAGAAGAAATGAACTTTCCCTCCCTCCCGGTTTAAAAAAAAAAGTTATGGATGCGCAGCTTGAACTATAGCATCTCATCGCGATGCTCGTCGCTGTTACCTTCAGCTAGGAAGGGTTAAAATGTGGCGAAAACGCAACTTTCGCAATTGTTTTGCGCCCCATGAAGGCAATTAACACGGGGACTGAACCTGAACAATGATACAGACTAATCGTCCCGTACTGCCTCGGGGAAAAGATGCTGTTAAGAGTTGATTTCAGTTTACACCTGAATGGCAGCGCTGACCATCCGCTTCGAGAAGAGTTCGTTACAACAGTAGACAATGGCAAAAGATCTCGAGTATAGAACAAGATGTTAAGCTTTAATGTGTAAAATATTTCAAGCTTACGCATACATTCTTTTTTTTCACGTGTCACTCTCGAAGACTGAGTTGCAGAAAACCACGCTGTTACAAACAAGGAGTAGATCTATACGTCTACGACGTATACATCTCTTCAAAATTTGTAAGCAGCGCTAGGCACCGTCAACATACGGGAGGACCTTGTAGCGACGCCACGGCACCTAGGCTCCGCCCGACCGGAAGCTCGGAACCACCCTCTATGATCACGTGAGATTTGGCAATGCAGCTGCAAAGCTACCTCCGAGCACGGCGCTTCGGACAACGCAGAAGGCTCCCTGGTGCGTTGTGCTCGGAGGCAGCTTTGCAGGGCGGGGCCAGGTGTCGCGTATCCCGTGATCATAGGTGGTGAGCTTTCGGCTGGGTGGAGCATACGTACAGTGACGTTGCTAAGTGCCCCCGTATGTCAACGGTGCTTACCACTGTTTACATACATGGTATAGACCTGTACGGTGACCCAAGCCAAATAGACCAGATAAACAGAGTAAGTGTCGCGTTGGCGCCTACACAAGCCGGTCGCGTCCCCTGACTCTAGATAATGATCTGAATTTTCACATGCTCGCAGCAAATTTTCTTTCCGAAAATAATATTGACCTAAACTCGCCCCCATACGCCTGCCAGTAAATGTAAATACTTAACCTTTCTCAAAGATACACTGAGACCACTTAACTCAAATTTCAGTGTGTCGTTCGTTGAACTTCACTACTAACTGTGGCCACATAATCAGACGTTTGGCCACTGACCGAAACCTCACCTCGACACGGAGAGCTTCTTCTGGTCGGAAGCCATTACAAATAGAATTGAACGTCGGCTTGATTCTGCAGCGCCTTCTAACCACCCTTGTCTTCTTCGTCTTCATCTGTTAGTGGCTCCTCAGGCATCTTACATACCTCACACGTTTGCCTATAAGCGGTCACTGTGCCATCGTAATAAACGATAAGTCGTATGACTGATTTCACCTTTCAGTAAATAATAAATCACGAGAAAACATTTAATAGAACGTAAAAAATATGTTTGTTTGTTCGTTCGTTTGATTGTTTGTAACCTCAAGACTATTCCACATATCCACCCTGGGGGATTTGTCAAGAAAGGATGTCATAACATTTCGATGAAAGCTTCAAAACGGCCTGAGAAAATTTTCAATATAAAGTAATAGTAGCTAATATATATATATATATATATATATATATATATATATATATATATATATATATATATATATATATATATATATATATATATATATATATATATATATATATGTGTGTGTGTGTGTGTGTGTGTGTGTGTGTGTCATTTTATACCCACCATTACCTCTGTCTCAAATTGCATCTGATAGCCTGCATCACTCCCTGCTCAGATATACTCCTTTTTCGATTTTCGGCTTTTCTTTCTACATATTTTTTTCAGCCCAAAATACGTTGTGTTTGAAAAATCATAAGCCTTTTAGTTAAGATCCTGCCGCCCGGTTCTTGGCCGATCCCCCTTTGTGGGTGTGCGCCAGAGTATCAAGGATCATCATCATCATCATATATTTTTAAAATCTGCGAATTTCTAGCAGACTTGAGAGTTTTGTTTATCTGACCAGGGTGATTCAAAATCGATATGCTGGATTTTAGTATATTTTAAGATTATTTTACGAATATTCACCAAAGTATAAATCAAAGTAGGATACGTTTAGCTGTTTCAATAAAATTGCAAACATGATACACATATTATAGATCTCACAGCGTCTTCTTTTTTTTTTTACCTTTATATAGCCCCCTCTCATCAGCCCTTGCCCGTCAAGGATTAAACATGACCTAATTGGCCCAATCGCCATCAGTGGCTCATCTTGGTACTATGCACAAACAAAGGCTAAATCATTCAGAACACTTATATTCTGCTATGGAAGAGCTGTGTGTAGCTTTCCTTAAAAAGAAAGAAGTCACGGCTTATGCACGAAGTGAATGATGATGAGTGTGTAAAGCAGTGGGTTCGTTATTCAGTGTTACCGTAAATGACCCGTGGCATTGGCCACTTACTATGTAAATGAGTGACAAAGCGGAGCACAATGATATCCAATAATTATGGGCCATGCCCCTGATCCTGGTGGCAATTCAAATTCGCGTTAGGTGAAGAAAGCTTTCGGAGAGTGACAGGTCAAGATCAATGCATAAACATACAAAAAAAGATGGCTCTCCCACTGGAGTCGTCTTAAGCGTTCGCATAAAGAACTCTGTGAGTTTTTTTTTTTTTTCAATATTACTTCTCGCACATAGTAGGAAACCCGTAATGACGCCCATCTGGCAGTTTGACCGCTTCCCTTCTAAGCGTTTTCATTTATTCGATGTTTTCTTGTTACTCTTATTTTTGAGTGTTTTTTTTAGCTTCGTGGGTCTTTATCTTAAACATTCTGTCGCCCACTTCTTAACCATTTCTTTTGTGTCTCAGCGCCATCGGGAAGTGGACATCACCACCACCATCATCATCATCATCAAAGCAGAGCGCGAAGAATCCAGGCCACTCGGTTCGTCACGTGACATCGCGGCCAAGGCCACATCATTGTCGCTATACTCGCGGGCCATCCGTTGGATCGATACCAAACGCAGAGATTCCTGCTTTTCCTCAACGTCGAGCCTGCAGCGTTATATAACGCAGCTGTAGACGTGACTAACGTGCCAACGGGTCGAGGCCGCGGGTTTCTTGTTGCCAGCCTACTTTTGCTAAACTTTTTTTTGAATGAGCCTTACTACAATCGGATTTGACTAAACCAGCCGAAAGGTTGGCCAACATTGGACGTGTCGAGTGGTTGCAGTAAAGCTCAGACGTACGGAAAGAAAGAAAGAAAGATGTGGGGACGACGACGACGATGATGACGACGACGACGACGATGACAACGATGACGACGATGACGACGATGACGATGATGACGATGATGATGATGATGATGATGATGATAGCCTCAAGGTGTGGCTCACACCCACTCTGATTGACTGGCCAAGAAATGGATACTTTATAAGAGCAATCATACAATATTTGCACGACTAATGAATTATAGGATCATCATGTCGTCATCAGCCTGACCACACCCACTGCAGGGCAAATGCCTCTCCCATAATCTGCCCATCAACCCGGTATTGTGCTTTTGCGGCCACGCTACACCTGCGAACGTTTTAATCTCATTGGCCCACCTAACTCCTCCCCTTCGTGCGTTTGCCTTGTCTGGAAATAAAGTCAGTTACACTTAATGATCAGCGGTTATCCTGCCTACGTGCTCGGCCCATGTACATTTGTTCTTCTTGATTTCAATTATGATATCCCTAACCCTGGATTGTTCCTGTATTATAGGATAGGTATAATAGATTATTGATGCTATAATTTAGACACTCGAGATCAAGGGCGGTCTAATTCATTTAAATTTATGTATTGTTTCACGCTTCGTCCTCATTTATTCACTCGAGCCGCCGCCATAGCTCACTTTTTAGAGCATCGACGTGTTATGCAAAGGTTGTAGGCTCGGTTTATACCGACATACACTTGTATTTTTGTCCAGTTTATTTTGTACATACATATTGTAAAGAAAGTACAATACAGTCAAAGTGCTACAAATGACGTCTCTTATAGATTCGTGTGCTTTATTGTTGGTTTGTCGAGGCTGTGTCCGACAAAGAAAACGTGCCCTTCATCCGTTCCCAAAACTTTCGTTCGTTCATGCTACAAAGTGTAGCTCAAATTCAAACCACGTTGGAATCGTATCCTTTTTTTTCTTGTGCCGCGGTTGAACCACACCGAAATCTCGCAAAGCAAGCAGGTTGTCGCAATCCGATTTCGAAGGCAATGCTTTTGTGAACTGCACGCACCGGAACCGAGTGCGGCCGCCAAAAGAAAAATACGACGTCGTAGGTCATGCAGATGCCGTGCGTTCTTTTCTGTATTCTTCGAGGACGCTTCGACAGTCAGCCTGAAGGGTTGGAGCAGGCCTTCTGTGGTTTCGGCTGATTTTATCGCGGCCGCGAAAGGACGGCGAGCGCGATTCAAACGACGACGCATTCGCCATCTCTTTTTATTTATTTATTTTTCATTCCACTGCTCGCTTCGTTGGGGTGCTGAGTCGTGCTCTTTCAAAGGCTGCTGGAGATAGCGTCATTTCCCTTTTCCTGCAGTAAACACTGTCTCCTTACCCCTGACCTTTTCAATCTTTTCAATGCCGTGTGGGGTTAGCGGGGAGCGAAATGTCTGACGTAACTTAAGCAAACGTTAAATTGGGTTTTCTTACAATAAATCGAAAGACTTTAGATGCTTCAGCAAATAATAAAACTGATCGTTGGCGCCCCGCTGCATCAGCGTCAGCTCGAGCGATATAAAAATGTCATGGTCGCGTGAGCTCTATACCAAATGTTATCATCAGATCAACGTCAATGATCAGTAAAATAAGTTGTATGCCACGACGTCATCATGACATCACATCACGTAACGTCTTGAGGAGATCGTCTTCTTAGTCTAGTTGGTACTGCCTGCTTTATGACACCACTCCTCTATAGGTGGCCCATTTTTCTTCCTTTCTTTCTTTTTTCTCTCTTTCGTTGTTTCGTTCTTTGTATTCTGACGGAGGGGGGACAGAGTAAGGGGGTCTATAGGTGAAGGTTAGGCATTTTGTTTTTTACATGGAAGAGCAATGGAAGCATGAACACCGTTTCAGTGCTAGCAAGGCCCCGCACAGCTGGCTGGGGTTGATAAGGTACGATTAAAGCTTCCCTTGTTTCCCGTAGCGTTGCTCCTCGCTGGGCTCCTGGCGTTCAAGCACGCCGTGAAACTAGCTGCCTTTCTACGCTCACGCCACCTGCTACTTGCAAAAAGAGCGACATAAAAAGCAGTCCTTCCAGTTCTTGTGCCTTCCAAAAAACAAAATTTAAAAAAAAATGGGTGCAGGCTAGGTTGGTCGCGAGAAGGAAGTATGGCAATTTGAGATATATCAACCAAGGTTAATTTTTTTTTTTCAATTTGGGGACATGAGTTGGAAGGCACGGCATTTAGGAAAAGGTAAATCACAGAAAAGCATGACACTGTGTGCAGTGTACAGGAATTTGTCGCTGAGAACACGAGTAACTATACAGTGGTGGCATTGGTGGGCTTCACGATTTAGGGTACTCGGTACACTACTATGGGAGAGCTGAAAGCCGTCCCTTGGGCATCACACTTGATCAGGTCGCTTCGACAAAATTTATGCCTGGTCCGGGCCCGGGCAGTGGTAAGCGGCGGGAATAGGGTGTCTTTAATGTCTCATACTCGCAGTGTATGCATGCATGTGGGAGGTAGTGGCCAGATACTGCACCAGGGCAGCCAATCCTTCTCTGGTGAGGGAGTGCGTTCCCGGCGGTGGTTACCGGTGAGGCCACACCCCAGGCTTCTTAATGCAGTTCCATCAACACGCGGATTTTTTTTTCACATTCATACTATCAATCAGGTAATAGAGAAATGCTCAGAATATAACCAACTACTATACATAGCCTTCATATATTACGAGAAGGCGTTTGATTCAGTAGAAATATCAGCCGTCATGCAGACCCTGCGGAATCAGGGCGTAGATGAAGTATATATAAACATTCTGGAAGAAATCTACAGGGGATCAACTGCTACCATAGTGCTTCATAAAGAAAGCAACAGAATACCAATCAAGAAGGGTGTAAGGCAGGGGGACACAATCTCCCCAATGCTATTTACCGCGTGCGCACAGGAGGTTTTCAGAAGCCTAGAATGGGAACAGTTAGGGACCAGAGTTAATGGAGAATACCTTAGTAACCTGCGCT